TGTTCAGGAGTTACACTACATAATTAGTTGATCTTTGCTTTAAATTTTCTACTTGCTGTTTTATTCATCAGATCACAGGTGGTTGAACTGCAGGTCCAATATTGAATGCCTAACAAGGCTTAATCTAATGATGCAAGTTAGTTTGCTGTAAACCTTGAACAAAACTTTAAGGCAATAATATGTTTGAGGGTGCATTGAAAGATATTAGAAAACTTAAAAAGGTGTATTGATAAAAACAAATCATCTCCTTTTTACACAAATCAGCTTAAGCAACACTCTCTTTAAAATACTATATTTTATAAAAAAAAGTTTGAGGTGGAGGAGGCTGTCAGACAGAATTGGACTAATCGGTTGAGTGGTGGTGTAGGAAACTATCCTAGCAGTGTGGACAGATCAGGTGTTGTGAAGCAAGGTGTGAATAACCGAAGGACTGTATATACTGGCCTCAATATGTAGCATGAGCACTGGGAAGTTTCCTAAGACAGCTCTAGCATTGAGCTATTCCTAGAACTGCTACTAGCTTCACAGCTGAAGGTATATCATTTGCTTTATGCCTCAGCACTATATTGGCTTTAATGAGAACATCTAGTAGCAGACTCACTGACTGCACCTTTAACTGCTGTTTTGCAGGGGTTCTGGCAGAACAGAGCTTTCAGGAGTATAAATGGTGTTTGTTCAGTCCTATCCCCCTACCAATGCATTCTATTGCACTGAAGCAAAATGCAGGACAATGTAGCACTTTAAAGACTAACAAGATGGTTTATTAGATGATGAGCTTTCGTGGGCCAGACCCACGTCTTCAGGCCCACGAAAGCTCATCATCTAATAAACCATCTTGTTAGTCTTTAAAGTGCTACATTGTCCTGCATTTTGCTTCAGCTACCCCAGACTAACACGGCTACATCTCTACCACTATTGCACTGATTTACTTTTTCTATTGCTATATATGAGGCCTCAATAGAAAGTTTTCCCCTTCATTCAAAATCTTATGCCCATTTTACTGCCATGAACATGATAAAGGGATGATTTTGCATGAGTCATGTAATGGGGTATGGTCACAGAAGACCCCTTGGGAGAGAGGGTAGGATTACTTGGTAATCTTGAATGGGGGAGGTGGGTGGCATGAGAATTGGATATGTAAAGCTGTAAAACAGGTTTTAGAAATCGCACAGGTAGTGATTTTGCTTCTTACAAGTGAGTGACACTCATGGCTTTGTGGAGTGGTTACTGGGTATAACTATAAATCATCTAACATGTGCTATATGTCCTCCAGTCAGGTAGAACAATAACAGGGAAGATATTGTTTGTTTTGTAGTATGCTTTGAATGACACTCTTAAACCAGTGATGGGCAACTGAGGCTAGTGAGTGGGCCATATGAGCGGCTCTCCTTCATTTCGGTAGGCCGCAAGATTATGGTAACCAAGATAGCCTCCTGGGATATTAATTTTGCGAACACCAGTGGCATACCCAGTATTTGTGGGATGTGCCAGTTGAACTATAGCAGTGCTTTAATTGCATGGAAAGGGAGTGCAGTCAGTGTTGTGTGCCCTTGCTTGACATGTCACTTTAGTAATAACAGCAAGAAAAAACCTACATAGACTGAAATAAGAATGTGGCAACCCTCTGCATGAGCAACAATGAATAAAATGTGTCGTGGGCTACACATAGCACCCAGTGGGTCTCAGGTTTCTCAGCACTGATCTCAGTGCTGGTTGGTGTTAATTTTGCAAGGATGTCCTCCATAAACTTGATTGGCAGTACAGTAATGCGCCCCATAGGTTGAAAATATGCCATGTAAGAATTGGATGTCTGAATCTGTCCAAACTTTGTATGTTTTTTTGAAGAAAACTGAACCTAATATTGAACCTGCGTAGCTTTTTGCATCTGTAGCTAGGAAAAATGTGTATTACTCTACTGAACTGAGGTCATGTGCCTAGATTCAGTACTGGAGCAAGGGGTCACAGATGCAATGGATAGTTTTTTTTTCTTCCCGTGGTCATTACTGCATCCTCCTTTTTCTTAGTAGGCCACTTTGCCTCTTCTATCTGTGTATCATAACCCAACTTTCCTAAAGGGCCTCAACACAAAAGCTAATGGATGTGCTGGACACTTTCATGAAAGATAACTTCCAAATGTTGGAAGTTGACAAACCCCCGCCCCCATTGTAGTTTTTCCAAATGTCATTCTTCAAAATAAGTTGGAATATGTGAAACTCTTTTATTTTATTTTCTGGTAAATCATATTAATGCATGTATTCATTTTCCAGCAATAGGTGGAGTGGATGATTTTGTGGACAAAGACCTTGGTTCTTATGTGAAAGATGTTTGAGAATTAGGGCAGTGTTAAATTGTAGCATCATGCAATAGTCCTCCCACTTCATTTTAAGACTTTCCTTGAAGGAAACATCTCTACTAATCAACGTCAGTGAAATTGGGATAAGAGTCAATGATATCTCAATTTTTGCACTCAGTTTTTAGAGTAGCTGCAGATTATTGGGTTAATCTTGGCAATAGAATTTGAATGGGCAAATCTCTAGAAAGATTTCTTAGTTGGCACACCTCCCCCACCTCACCATACAGACAACAAGATCTACCCTTGTGCAGTATCTCTCAGTAGTCCTAGCCCATCTGGGGGTCAGGGATAGAATCCTACTTCTCAGAGTTCCAGGCACCAGCTGGGAGTCAGGACTGGAGGGCACAGCTCAAACTCCCCACCATACTAGCATCTACCCAACTCCCTACTTCCCCCACCTACGCCATGCATTATGCTTCTCTACCCCTCCTAGCCAAGCAGGCTGGAGGAAAGTACTAGGTTTCTCACATTAAACTGCATCCAAACTTTGCTGCTGTAATTAGACTGGTCTTCTCCAGGCTGCCAAGCCAGGAGACAGGGCACTTCAAACTCCCCTCCCCTCTGATTCCTGCCCTCAAGCCACCTACTCCCTCCTGCTCTCCCGGTTCTCCAGCAATGAGCTGCTGCAGCTGTGGGAGAGGGTGGCTACCCACCCCCAGCCAGCCAGAGCCCTGAGCTGCTGGGTGGGCTCATTAAGCAGCTGGGTGGCCAGGCAGGTTATGGGGAGCTTTGGTAGCCTAGAGTTTCTGAAATACAACTGTGAAACACAAACACTATAGTAATTAAGGTAGTGAAAGATTTTCTTTAGACTTGGTGGTGATAAAATACTTGAAGGACTGGCTTTTTGAAGACACACACAAATACTAAAGGTAAGAATTTTAAATTTTTATTATATAATAGTTGAGTGTTCAGTATCATTTACTGATTTGTAAATTATTTCCATTTGGCAATGTATTGAAATGGCAAATTTGTCATTGTATATTAATTTTAACTTGTATGTCATATAGTAATGATAAATTTTGATTGAGATTAATAGATATAAGTTTTGAGCATCCTAGAATTTATTTTGACTCTTTTGGATTATGGACATGACATGTCTTTCTGTCTGTTGGTGAATCCATCCGTCGAGTCTTTCCTCTTCTAAATCACTTAACAGATTTTAATGAAATCTTATATTGAAGATTTTTATAAAAAGTTGTCTGCAATTTTTGTTCTGCAGATGTTAACTCTAACGCATTTTTTGCTCATTATTCTATTTGTTTTGCTTGACTGTTCATTATTTTGACATCTTTCATTTATAGTTCAAGTTTTTTTTTTTTTTTAATTTTCAGGGTACCTTTTGTATGAATGTCATGGCTATAAGAGGAGGCATGAATGTAGATATGTAAAGGAAAAGGAGCCAGCTTTAAAACCAATGAGGAGGGGTTCTTTGCTGAATTTCGTGAGAGAAGAAGATATGAGGAGTGACAGTTCAAGCTCTCCCATGGATCCATGCATATCAGACCTGGAAAACAAAGCTGCAGAACATGTTGAAGCAGATGTCAGAGTGGTGATCCTTACTTGATTTTGAAGGTTCAAGCCAGGATCAGTCACGCTACTTCAGAAGTGGAAGTGACAATACTGACAGAAGATGTGGTTGTAACAGAAAGAGATACCAAAGAATAGTTGTGACCCAGCTGAGTGGGAAATGACTCCCTTTTCATAAAATATTTTGCCAGAAGTACACCACCTCAGAATTTGGATTCATCTTTCTCATTGCTAGGTAGATGTTTTTGGTAAGGAGAGATGCACGTGAAGAACATTCTTTCAGATGACTGGCAAGTGGGGAAACTGTCCAAAGAGAATGGCTTGCTTATTCTCCCTCAACTGGTAAAATGTATTGCTATGTGTGCCAACTTTTCTGTGTCAGTGACTCATCAGTTTATAACAAGTTTTGATGTTTGGACAAAGGCAGTCAAAGGATCATCTTGGAGCACTGTTAAAGATGCTGCAGCATCAGAAGTCTGCCAGAATTGACACAACTGAAGATGAAGGCAAGATCATCTAAATACTGGATTGAAATGATGAAGAGAATAGTTGCTGTATGTACTAAGATTCCTTGCTGAACCAGGCCTAGCCTTTTGTGGGGATACTGAAGTGCACAGCTGCCTTAATGGAACTCTCTTAATTGCATTGAACTTCTAGCTGAACTTGATCCGTTTCTCTTGAACACATGCAATGACGTGGGTATGTGTCTTATCTTTCGAAAACTATAGGGGATGAATTTTGATTGATATATTGGGATTCAAAGTTATGGTGCAGATAATATCTGAGATCAAGAAGGCAAAGTATTATGGAATCAATATCAATGGATCTCCTGATAGTCACTCTGATCAGCTTACAGTGGTGTTTTGTCATGTACTGAGTGATTGGAAGTGTGGTTGAGCAGTTTCTTCAGTTCATCCCCATTGAATAACGTGGTGAAATATACTTAATCTTTTGCAGGATATTCTCAAACTTGATGGCATTGATATTGCAAGCTGCATGTCAGTCAGATAACGCCAGCAATATCAGTGATGTTTATTCAGGGTTTCAAGCTAGGGTTTGTGACCTTAACAGTTTGGCTGAATGGGTTCCTTGTGCTGCCCATAGTCTGAATTTGATTGGATCAGCTGATGTGGAGTGTTGCCCAGCATCAGTCAGGTTTTGGGGGATTTTGCAGTTATTCATTCTGTTCTTCTCAGCTTCACCCCACAGATGGTCTAAACATGAAGCAAAATACCGATGTTGTGCAAAGCACATGAGAAACAAGATGATTAGCACAAAGCAATACCACCAGAGCACTTTATATGAACTATTCTGAAATTCATCAGGCTTTGATAGACATAGCTGAAAGTGATCAACAACCATCAGCAGCTGTCCATGAGGCAAAGTCCCTAAAGCTGGATCAGTTGGAGACCGCTTTGTGCGTCATTTAGACTGACATAGTACAAAAACAAATAGTGTGAATAAAGCTCTACGGGAGGCTGGCATAGAGTTGTGCACTGTTGTGAATTTGAGGGTCTTTTAGAACGCTTTCGTGATACCTATGGTGAATTTCATGTGTTTGAAGCAGTTGCAACAGATCTCACCAAGCAACTACAATGAGACCCCACAATGCAAATGACAGCAATTTTTGGGTGACGTTTATATGGGTAATACTCTCGGATTGGAGTGCCAATGGCAAATTTCACACATTGTGCTTCTATCTTATGGATAAACTTACTGTTGAGATTGTCAAACAAGCAGCATAGCATGCACCACATTAAATTAAAAGATTTCGTTTTCTTGTGGTTAGGTCAATGCCCGGAGAGGAAGTCTCTAGAGCAAGACCATTAATCAATACCTACCCGTCCAATCTCGAACATGCATTTACTGATGTATTTCTGTGGTTCTCTGTATACATACGGGAGGAGAAATCTGTGGCACAAATGATCATAAATAACTGACAAGTTTTCCAAATGTCAACATTGCTTTCAGAATGTCTCTTCATCTTGGGCACAAATTGTGAAGGCGAGCAATATTTTCACAGTTAAAACTTATAAAGAACTGTCTTTGGTCCACCATGGGACAGAACGACTATCTTCACTTGCACTACTTTCAACTGAGAGAAATGGCATTTCACAATGTAATCTGATTTTTTGCTTAGTCGCAAAGTAAATATCTAATTGTATGTTGTATGTTTGACTAAAGATAACAAATTAAGTTTGATTTACCATTTTCTTTTCTCATTTGAGTAAATTATGAATATTTTTTGGCCCTAAACTTTTTCGTAGACCCTAAGCACTGTGCGTAATGAAAAATCCAGCCATGCCTAAACTTGAAAATGAAACTCTAAGCCCCTCATGCCATTGCATTCTGTCAAGAGTAACTTGTTTTAAAATGGCTCTTATGCCCCGTCCTTGTTGCTGTCAAACTGTGGTGCCCCAAGATTAAAACTAATTGAAAGCTTATAGATGTACACCACTAAACTAATAGTGGTGCAGAATTGCAAAGGCTGTACTACAGTATAGATGAGGCGCCCAATAGGCCCATGAGATGGTTAACCAGTACACTTACTAGTTAACTGGTGAGGGCTTCTCCAGGCCTGTGGTGGGGAGGGGCCCACCACTCCTTTAACTGGTTAACAGGTTAAACATTACGTTTAGCCAGTTAACCAATTAAGCAGGATTTTGGTATTGCTAGTGCGTACAGCATAAGCCAACAAAAGTCAAAAGGTAATAAAATACAAAATTGAGACTTCTAATCAAACTTGTCAGATGAGAAAATCTGGTAACCTTTTTAATACAAAGATATCGCTAGTAATTTTCAGTACAAACTGGCTATTTGATCACCAGGCTTTCATATGACGTTTTCAACACACACACATCACTTGTTTTAGGAAACATTGTGTTTTAGCTACCGGGATTCTCTTCAAAACAGACGTTAGTCTGCATTAGCAAGAATGAGACTTGCTAAGAACTGACATATTTTACACACAATTCATAGACTAAATGCCTAAGTCTTTACAGATACATTTATACCTCTAAACACTGTCTAGAGCTGGGCTACTCAACTTGCGGCCTGCGAGTTGCATATGGCCCGCAGCCCATTTGTTTGCGGCCCGCAGTGCGACTTTAGCAGGGTTCAACATGTGGCCCGCGGGTGGGATACTTTGAACATGGCCTCCACTGGGAATATGCTTCATAATGATGAGGCTTCTTCCAGGTGGGGTGAGCATTGAAAGATGCAAGGGGATGGGCTGGCTGGAACACACAGGTAAAGGGTGTTGGCATTTCTAGTCCCAGGGAGGAGGTGCCAGGAGCACTGGGACATTGTGGGAAGTGTTTTATATTCATGCCCGTCAGGGTGAAAGAAGCATGCACAACCACACTTAAGTTGTAGTCCTCAGCATGTGCTGTGAATATCATGGCCTCCGGGGCTTCCAAAGTTGAGTAGCACTTGTCTGGATTGTTCAAGAGATTAGAGATTGGCTTTAGGCAGGGATGGGCAATAATTTTCAGTGGGGCACCACTCCAAGAAAGTGGTCAAGGGCCATACTTTTCTGTGGAGGGAGTGTGGGGTCTAGGTTGGAGGTTAGGTGCAAAAGAGTGCACAGGGTAAGGGACTGGGGTGCAGGAGATGCTGTGGGGGCTGATAGGGTGTTTGGGTGGAGGAGCAGGTTGTGACCTGGGTCAGGGGATTGGAGTGTAGGATCAAGGAGGGGAGTGGGGGTGCAGGAGAGGGTTCTGGCCTGGGGAAAGGATGTAGGAAAGAGTACAGGGTTTGGGAGGGAGTTGTCACTTGGGTTTGGATGGTGATCTGGGGGAGGAAGTTGGGAGGTAGCAGGGGCTGAGGTGCCAGAGGCAGGCACTGGATGGGAGGAGTATACCCAAGTGTCTCCTGGCCAGCAGGCTGCAGCACCACTAAGGCAGGCTGGGCGCTTTGCCTGCTGCAGCCCCAGCCCTCCTGAAAATGCAGGCTGCTCCCTCCACATGGCTCTGAACTCTGCATGGAGGAACAAGCTTGTGCTGCCCCAGTTGTTCAGGCCAATCTCTCAGCTCCGATTAGCAAACAGCCAGCCAATCTCTATATTGGCTGGAGAGGCCAGTTCTTATTGGCTGGTTGTTTCTGGCAAATAGGAGCTGAGGTTTAGGCTGAAGGTGGGGAGATGCTCAAAGCCACCCCCTCCCTGCAGGTCAGGGAGATGCAGGGACTGTGTTTTAAATGGCAGCAGCTGTGTCCCTCTGAGGGTCCTGGCAGTCTGGTCCATGGGTCAGATCTGGTGGCTTGGTGGGCTGTATTTTGTCCAGCCCTGCTGTAAGGTCTTACCTAGGTTAACTGCCCAGTATTCAGGCCTGTTCAACACTTGGTCACTACCAGATGGCATTTTAACAACCTAGCAGATAAGCTGGTGACAAGTCCTGCTGTAGTCAAGGTGTGTATTGTAATTTTAAAGTTGTAGGCTATTTTTTTGAATAGATAGCTGAGCCATGGTACATTTTGCATTTAAGTGTCCCAGCTCAGTTTTAAAGCTACAAGAACTGAAGTCAATACTTTTTTGCAAAAGTTTTATGACGAACTTATTCACTTTTGTTTTACTGGAATATAATACTGTTTTCTGTTATAGGCTGATCAACTGACAGAAGAGCAGATTGCAGGTGAGTTGAGGTGCTGTTAACAAACCTACATTTGAGACTTCACTGTATTGATTTGGTATTAGTTTGTGGCAAGTTAAATATCTCTAAACATAGGTGCTTGGAATCAAGGGCATGCTGCCTCATCCCCAGCTTGAAGTGACTTATGTTGTGTGTACTAACTTCACTTTAATGATTTGGTAAAAATGTTTAATTTAGAGTTGTATATGCCTGGACTGTTCCTAACAAATAAAACACTGCATTATTGTTCATCCTGAAAGGAAATCAAACTTGTCAGTGCTCATTGTAAACAAATGTAACATGTCATATACTCTGAGAATTCTGCCTATTGCTAATTGCTTAACAGGTCTTAGTTGCCTCTTTAATTATTGCTCATTTGCATATTCAAGATAGCATAAGAACTAATATTTTAATTGGCTTTTTGCATAATAGTATCGCTTCCTGGTTAAAATTGGAGTACATTTTTAGAGACTTCTTGCTTAATGTTGTTAGCTCTTAAGGTGAATATAGGTGTGTGCGAATTTCAAAAGTATGATCTAAGGACTAAATTTCCCCCACATCCTGAGATAAATATTGCATACTTGCTTGTATGGGGGTGTAGTGGTGGGTGGCTATTCTGATTATTGCTGCTTCTGCAGAAGAACTAACAGACTTAACTTAGTTGTAAGTCTTCCACTGTTAAAACCTACTATTGTATCTAGCTATCAAGAACTCAGATATTGTTTGAATGAGGGACACTGTTTCAACAGATACTAATATCTTGAGTTTCCAGCTACCTTATATTTAAATGGTATTAGAATTAGACTTCAGTGTTTATTTTGAACACACTGAAGCATCTTTATTTCTAATCTTACCAGGCTCCCAACTATAAACAAATCACTATGTGTTTGCTCTTGAACATGAATTCTGTGTTCAAACACATATTTTAGATGTATCTTGCCTGGCACAGTTCATTATTTACAACCTTTGGGTATCTTCTCAGCATTTTTAGGGCACAATTCCCAAACTGAAGAGCAGCAGGACAGCATTGCGTGTATGTATGCTTAAGTCTGAAAATGATTGCAACTTTTGGAAGTTAAACTGTCTTAAGGACACCCAAAATGAAAATCCAAGGCTTATTAAAATAGGCACAATGGTTTTATGCCAGTCTAATTCAGCATCAGATTTTCATAGATAGCTGTTGGCATCTTGCAACTTTCAAAGGGCTTTAGAACAATTTTCCTAGTTGCTTAAATTAAATCTTAGTCCTCTTGCATGTTGTAATAATCTTTGCACTGGTGACTGTTGTGGAGTCACAGGAAGTCCAATGTCTGACTGTTTCAGAGGTAATGCAAACATTGAAAGACCAGTGACTCCATTGAAACAGAATGGTTGCCTGGTAACTTTGAAGTCTAAAAGTGGAAAAACAGGATAATTTGAGACTTGTGTATTAGAGTAGTGATTCCCCACTGAATTTGAAAAATAGGTCAAATATAGCCTTAACCTGATAGTGTCTAAGGTTCTGTTATGCCAGTCGTATGTCAAATCACTATTCTGTAATATCCATGGACCTGTGTTCAATCTACATAACTTTGTCTGCCAAGTTTGATTATGCACGTGTATCTGTGACAAGCTTCTATTCTTATGGCATCAAAAGCTACATAATGGGCACTTCTGTTAGCCTCATTTAGCATGGACATTGTAACTACCAAGATTT